GAAGGAGCCAGTGAGGTTTGCGTACTTGATGTATTCTCGAAGCCACAATGAAGTGCTTTTCGCGCCACTGCCTTAAAACAAAGAGCTTAAGCAACAATTCAAAATGCTGCTTTGTGATAGATGGGGTTCTCCTACTGTAAGAGATCTGTTCGAACTGCTGGCCAATCAGTTCAATCAACTGCCGATTTTCCGGAATTGTCATGTCTGGAGCTTTCCTTATGGCAATTTCGACCTGAGCATACGAAAATATAATGAGGATTGCTATGCTACTATCCCTCATACCTGATCGCCGTTCGGAAACAACTCAATTTCCCTAGCGAAAGCTTCGACTAATGGGTCCGTTTGTAGAAGAAGCTTGTCATAGTCTAAACCTTGTTCCATCACACTAATACCATATATTGAGATCTGAAAACTAATAAAACATAGGGCAGAACAGCTTCATAAAACAAAAATATAAGTTAACATCTTGACTATAAGACTTATATTTATGCTTGCACATAGTAGTATGCAAAAAAGATCTCTTCAAAACCGTTACGAATCAGCAAGGTTAAATTTGTTTAGGGAACTAATCTTGAAAAATCACAGTGAAACCTACCATCAAATAAAGTATAAATATCAAGAATACACCTATTTTCGTTCTGAGATCAAGTAGGAAAGGTACATAGTAGTCCCTGAAATATCATTTTGAAAGATTCATTTGTTAGAATCGGAAAGTCATCGATTTACCTGAAAAAAAGACTCATTTGTCCGCGATTTTTGAGCTCAAATTGAGGAGCAGCAGGTGCGGCAGAGCTGCTCACGCTCTTTTCACTCTGCAGAAAGTTGCAATATATGATAGACTTCTCAGCGAAACCTTCCACTAACTTAAGTTTACTTACCTCGTTTCCATTTTCCATGAAACCTCTAGCTTGTTGGGTTTTTTTGAGTGTTGCAACTCCATTGGTTACTCCATTTGATCCATTTTTCACTACAACTGCCATAATGGTTAGAAAAAAGTGGTATTTCTAAGCGAACCAACCCTTTTTTAGGCTCTTGTTATTTTCATAGGCTTCACCATTTTCCTTATGTGAATCCTTGATGTCTTGCAGCTCGTGGGCGTGAATATCTTTGGCCTGAATCTCTAACTCTTCGGCAATTTGTTTTTTTTTTTTCTTCACAATGCTGTACGATGATAGTTAACGCATAGAATCATTAATGGTCAAGTTTTTTTGTAAGCATATCAATCTTGAACAGGCTTTCATCCTATCTTGGGATCACCCAGAAAACCTTTCAGCCCAGATTACTCAAAAATCCACCTGAGGACTTCTTCTAATGTTGTCGTGAATTAACTCAATACAAAAAAGAACCTTGGTTCTCGAGTAAGGTCTATCTATTCTCAAAAAGAATATTCTTTTTGTAATGAATTAATTTTTTCGCTATCAGTGCTCCCTTGAAAAATAAACTCAAG